TGGTGAATGATGGTTCAATGTTATTTGCTGGGCTTGAACCAACAACCTTTCGGTTCATAACTGAGATACAATATTGGTCATACTGGGAGTATTATTGACTCCTAACTGGCCAGTAGCCTGGCAGTGCAGGAGAGCTTCAACGGAAACTGCCCTAGTACCTTTTCTGTTCTACATATCACATGACGGACCGAACATCAGCTCACATGAAGTTCTCCAAATGTACTGTAAGTCCTACCTATTAACGTCACCACTGCCCAGTCGTTGTGCTCAAGTGCTGTTACTGAAAAATGGCCAAGCCAACAGAGAAGACGAGGAAAGTCTGACTCCTCATCTAATGCTTTCAGAAAGGGCTGACACTATAAAAAAGTTTGATTCAGAGCAAAAAGAAATATATTTGGCAGGTTCTCCATGGCTGTCCCTGGGGTTGTGCATGAGTTCACAGAACACAGCGAGGGCTAGAAATAAACGGTTTGCTCATGCGTGGGAGCGATGTAACAGTTCAACACCCAAACCAGAAACAAGCACTCTTTCTTTTCCAAACAGCTCAGTGACATTTTTATGAAAGGCAGAAGATGAAAAAAACAATCAGGCTGGACAGGACAAGGATCTGGACACTGGTCACTAGGGGAGGTGTGTTTGAAGGCCAGTGGATGAAAGCAGTGAACTCTACACTGCAGTGAAATTGAAAATGACTTCTTAATGTAGCCTAATTACCATCCCAGTTCTACAGAACGCAATGGCCAATCAGAGGTGTTTAAGAATCCACTCACTGCTCCAAACGACAGTGTTTTGTTCAGTGCTGAGTTATGCAAGCTTGCAAATCCTCTCATTGTAACAAACAAGGTGTAGACACAATGTACTGTAAATAACAGATTCATTGTGCGGTCTAGAGAGATTCATTGCTTACAACAGATCTTTCTGAGATCGCGATAAACTGAAATAAGTGACAGCAATTTAGTGATTATAAAGGAAGCACTCTTTGCGCGCTTTCTTGGCTCTATAATCGATTCAGAATTTTAATAAAAAGTTTTGTTTTTCATGCTGCTAAGAGAAACAATGGCCATACACACACTGCAAAGTTTCAGGAGTGACATCCACATATAAATGTGGGATTCACTCTCGATAGTGATAATCATAACAATGGACAGGACATACAATAAATATCCCAAAACAGATGTGCATTATTTAGGCTAGAGCACCCTCAATAATTTAAAAAGCACCCTCAGTGATTTGTTTCTGGAACTGGGCCTGCCTATATATATATATATATATATACATGGCATAAATGGCTTTACAACTCTCAAAAAACCCTTATAAATAAAATTATACACATAAGAAATAGCTATTTTAGTCAAATTGTGTCTGTGTGTATGCTTTACATATTTAATATCCTATAATATATATAGTACATACATTATAATATATTAGAAATTATACTATATTTTATACAATACATGTATAGTACGACTTAAATAAATATTGAATTTAAAAAATGCTACATTTTCTGTTGTGTGAGTGATTTCTACAACTTATAATTTTGCTTCTTTTCTTAGAAGAAGACCTGCATTAAGACATTCTGAAAGGAAAATAACTGGGGCATATTAAGTACATTCTTACTGCTAACAACAGTAAGTCCCATGAATTTGATTCCCAATGAATGTAAAAACTGATAAAAAATGTACATTTTCAATGCAACGTAGGTTGCTTTGTAAAAAAGTATTTGCAGCAGAATGCATAAATGTAAAATGAACTATGTTTTGCTGTGATTATGAGTACTTGCCAATATATAAACTGAATTATGGGACACTGAAACCCCTTGAATACTAAAGCCATGACATTTCAGCTCTACACTGTAGATTCACTATACACCATAGTTCTACAGTTTGACATTCAACTTACTGTATGATTGGGGGACAAGGATTAAAAAATTAATACTCTCCTGTCACATTACCGGTCACAACAGGGAGCGTCAGTTCAGTGCATCTCACAGAGAGGCCACCATGTTAGAAAAACAACTCGGAGAGCCTTCATCATCTCAAACACACACACACACACACACACAGAAACACAGAGGTATGAAGTCAGTCATTCATAACAACAGTGCCCCTCCTGTCCGAACTCTGCTGCCTCTGGGCTGTGAGATGGAGGGGCGGGAAAAGGGCCAAGGGTTAAACACCAGCTCAGACAGGAATAATATTCTAACAAACACGCACTTTCTCTCATTTAGGCACATCAAATATACACACGCTCTCTGTTTTATCTTACTGTCCATGCTGGATGGAACGGTTGAAAAAATTCAAACAATAACAAAACCTAAGCTGGGATAGTGTAACCTTGTTTGTGTTTTGGATTCACTTTCTTCATAGATTCTCAGTCACATAGATGCCAAATTAAACCACTCCACCAATGGGGGTTAAGACTGAGCTAGATGAAGGAAGCACCGAGGAAATGTGAATTCTACCAATGCAAAAATAGCCTTTTTAGCATTTAAAGTGTAAGACATGAAACTAAATATGATATACGCAATACTACTTGTGTCTCAATTGCACAACACACATGCATTTTGTTACAGTGTGTGATGCTGAGATGAGAGGCAAATAAGTTGCATCATTTGGGTCAGGGGAACAAGGCAGCTCCTTCACAGAGGGAAATAAGTAGGTCATTGTGGATTCCTCTCATTGGCGCTGTTCTTTCCAAATAGTTGCATCTTTTCACTCAACTTCCAGCTGTGAGTTAACTCTGTATACACTGTCCTAATGAATGGGAATGTCTTCATGTGGTCATTTACTGGTTTGTAAAATAAAGGATCTTTGATTTCAGAGGATAGATGTGACTACTCATTCTAAAATATATTTTAAATGTTGAGTTAAAGGCAGAGTAAGTGATTTTTCAAAAACGCTTTAAAAACTGATTCGGGCCGAATCGCAAAACAAACTTGTAGCCAATCAGCAATAAGGGGCGTGTCTACTCATGATGTGTCATTCAGACATGTAACCACTTCTACACTACCCTCATTCAATTTATATATGTATAATAGTAATATAATTAAATATATATAAGATATAAAGTAACTGTAAAATCTACTAAAAAGTAACGACTGTAGTATATTTATATATATATATAGTGATAAGCTACCACTAAATATTGTAGAAACTTAATTTGCTGTAAAGTTGCTTTGCAATGATTTGTATCGTGAAAAGCGCTGTACAAATAAACTTGACTTGACTTGACTTGATAAATGACCTATAATTATATAGGTAAAATATACAAAAATATATTAAAATAACTGAAAACAATTCAAATTGTAATACAAAGTCTGTGTGTGTGTGTGTGTGTGTGTGTGTGTGTGTGTGTTTATGTAATAAGACAAGAGCTTAAAAGATTCATTTTGAAATTAATGTTGATTTTTTTTTTTTTTGCCTTTTTAACATAGCTAATACATCTACATTTTCTGTTATGTAAAAACATAAAACAATTTAGCTATATTATAAAAATATTACATAAAACAATAAAAATATATTTCAAATCATTTCAAATCAACAATAAAAATTATAATATATATAGACATACATTTGAATTATTTTATATGCTGACTTAAAAATATTATATATTTTAGATTTCTGCATAGTAAATAAAATAGGTTAATAATTAATTACCCATTTACATTTTTACAGAAGCAGTCAATTTGCTAATTTGCCAACTTAATTACATTATTTTACATTATAATATTACATTATAGTATTTTCTCACACTTTATTTAAAAAAATCACCTTATTAGCCTTAATCTTTCCTAGAAACCCCTGAACAGGCTTCGAATACAAAACAACACCCAAGTCACAAAAAAAAAATCAAAAACTGTGTAAAATATCAGTGTAAGATCGTTTACAAGTTTGCTGAGCTAAACAAGTCAAAGCATAACCTTCACATGGGTAAACAACAACTAAATCGCCTGAAGTGAGTTCAGTTTGAGATACTTAATGAGGGTCCAGGCTAAACCAGACGTCTGATTGAATGAAAGAAAATACGCTGATTAACCAAAGAATCCCTGCCGTCTGGTGAGTAACAGGAAGCTGACATTGCTCTGGCTGACATAGACACAACTGTGTAATAGGCTACAGCCCGAGGTGAATCGCACAGGTAGGCATGCACAGACAGACACACACGCACACACATTTCCAGTGGATTCATTCATTCCAGTGGATTCAAAGGTCACCACCACATACAAGCATGCAAATCCACCATCTGCAATAACAAACTAGCAACTCATCATCACAGAGAAAGAACGTATAATTCTAACAACAGAAATACACCAACCAGAAGAGTTTCAGTTGGGCTGCACCCCGTCAGCTGGTTTTAATGTCAGTGGACACGCCAGGGTGAGGACCACTTTAAAAACTTCATGAGTTCTTTTTTGATATCTTCATCTTGATGTTTTAGAATAACAATGACAGAGCTGCACTAAAATCCCTCATATAAAATACAACACACACCACTGCAAAACACAAGGAGGCTCTTTATGAGTCCCAGCCCACTATAAACTCTGATGGGAATCCCATGTTCAGGTTTTAGAGTGTGTATGTGTATATGTGTGCAAGAACAAAATATGCAATAGTACTTTCTTACTGTGCATTTACCTTTGTATAAAATATCCACAGGCCTTCAGCTCAGCGTGCTGATTGTTTATTCCTGTGTATAAATAATTGTGCTCCTTTATTGGGCTATTTGGTTTCCAAGGTATTCGTTTCCATGGTCACACGCCCACAATGAAGCGCACGCTCAAATTTAGCCCAACATTTTGGATACAACATTACATATTATGCTTTTTACATACAGAAATCCCTATTCCACAAATCTGCAAGAAGTAACTTATGGGTAGATTAAAAGACACCTATACATTAACCAAAAAAGCTGGGTGCACCTGTTCTTAACAGGTACATCTCAAATCCACCTGCTCGCATGTGGTTAGTACTGGCAGAAAAGGTGGTAGCCTCTTTACTAACCTGGATTATTGGCCTCCCTTTCCAGAACATGCAGCTCAGTGCAGTCAGCCAAGGAATGCTCCAGACAGAGCTGAAGGAAGCGTGCTTGGGTCCGACTGACCCGCTTGAGGAGCGACAATAACGCCACCGTCTGTTCGCACTCATTCCATCCCTTAAACCAGCCGACGAGGACTCCCACCTGGTCACGAAACATCATGATCTGGTGGGCAGGCTCACGGTACCAAGACTTGGCAATTGGGTTCTTTGAGAGGGGGAGAGAGAGATGGCCACAACCCAATGACAATGCTTTGCAGCTTACTAGAGAATCACCACGCAGACGTATCCAAAAATGCTTTCACCTTCACTTGAGGTTTGACAGAAAATAGCCCTTTGAGATGTTATTTGCTAGTGGGTACCAATGTATTGCATCTTTGTTCTTGGGTTTTGGAGTTAGGCTTAGTGGTAGGGAATCCCTGTTTGAAGATTTTGAGATGGTATTAGTTGGAGCTCTCCAACCCTCTGGCCACTTGGGGCTTACAAAACTTTCCTCAGCTTTTCTCCTGCATACAGTGACTGTCCAGCTTTAGTCTTGATGGCATTGTCCACAGAGAACATCTTCTTTCTGTTAAAGTAAAGAGTAGTGATTATACAGTCCATATTTTAGAAGAAATACAAACACAAAAAGTCAAGCACTGGTGAAAATTTCAACTTAATGCTGGCAATAGTGTTTTGGAAGCTGGTTTATGGTCCAGGTAGGTCCATAACTAGTTCCAAAAATCAGGCTGACTACCTTAGGCTGGTTTGGCTAGTAGACTGACAGTAGCTAGTAGACTGTCAGCTGTATAATCTACATATTTTGAAGCCCATTGCTGGTTTCACAAGCCTTTGGAAACGTGCCACAAGTCTGTTGCTTGAGTCTTCCAGATGAAAACGACACGTAGGTAAAATTTCTTAGAAGAAACTCGAACAGGTTAACCATTTATAACGAGTTGGCAAATATCACGTGGTCTCAGTCCGTGAAACAAGTTCACTTTCCTTTCATAAGAAGCCAGAGACAAAAATAAACCTGCTTCATACAGTGGTGTTTCATTCGTGAATGAATCAGTGTTTTGAACGAATCGTTTAAGAGAACGATAAACATTTGTGTACATTTCTATGCACTGACCCATAGTTTTAGTTCACTAACTGACTGCAGTACGAGCAAAAAGCGTTAGTTCATTAAAAACAGAAGACATCTAATTCGCAAACGAACTAAATAAGCACATCTCATTTAGGAACGAGCGACTCATCTCAATAGTGAATCTTGCATCTGAGATTTTGACTGAAGATTATGAAGACAAACATTTTTTTCTGTGAATTAACATAGACTGAATAATTGTTCACCCTAAGGCTAGTAATGTGGGCTAAAGAATATAGTAAATTTTGTCAATTTTGATATCATGCGGACTTGAGTGATTCAATTACTCAATTCACACAAAAAGAGACTTATCGCCACCTACTGGCATAACGACGACTCATGCGGAATGAATCAGTGAACTGAACCGGATTCTAAAGACTCGAGTCTGAGATGAGAGGCGAGTTGACACGTTAGCGGGAATGAGCGAGTTTTTAAGAATGCTTAAACGTTCTTTAGTGATTCTTTAGTGAATATTCGCAGATGAACTGTTAACTGGGAACTCCGCAAGAGCAATGCAATCTCAATATCTTTTGTCCTGTAGGTTGACCTAAATATACACTTACCTCCAAAAGCATCAGATGTGGACAAATAAAAATAAACGCAGGCTTTCAGTTTCTATTCGTGTCTATACATGCGGCACTCGAGCGATCCTCTAATAACCGAGCGGAATCACTGACTGTCCAGAACATTCCCAAAAATTGTTGCTCGACTGTCCCTACTGTAAGTCAGTGCACACTATTCAGTCTTCATTTTCACACCCCTTTACATATGAAACAATTCCCCACTTTACGTCAGCAGTTTGGTGGTTTACCCTGCCTAAATCAATCGAAATGCCCCGTTTATGAGTTGTAATTAATAAACAACCCAAAACTTTTAATAAAACAGACTCGTTCTGATTTCCATTTTTCATACTCGGAGTTCCCACAGAAAGCTACTGCTGTGGCAAAAAAAAAAAAAAGCTGAGACAAGAGATGTTGCAACCCAGGTTTGTAGGCTACTGAAAAGGCTTAAAATGCTCTAGTAAAAACCCTCAGAAGTCACTCACCTAAAGGAGCAGTTGCATTGGTGCTGGTCGCAGGACAGGACTGGACGGGACAGGGAGCGGTGCCCCTTCACTCTGGGTCAGTGTGTTTGGCCATCTTGACGAGGTTTTTCTCCCCGCAGTCAGTCGCTCTTGTTTAAGCAGCAGAGGAGAGTCTCGGCATCGCTTGCCACATGCTAATAATTAACACGGAGCATTACGTCAGGGGCTTGGCAGCACAAGGAAGCACAAAAATAGAGAATGGAGTTGGGGAGCAGATCGTATTGCTTATCCGACAGGAGAGAACTGACCGGGGATCAGGGAATTTTTTAGGGAGTCCAAGAGGTGTCCGCATCAAACTGGGCGATGGAGTGGAAGTTTTCTTTGAAATGTTTAGAGGGGAGGGAATAGTTAAAAAGTCCTGTCCGTCGAAGTTTGAGGATGTTTGTGTTAGAAGGGAAGATTGTAATTTTGACCTACTGTGACGCGCTGAAAGTGGGTTACAAAGTGTCGAAAAAGGAAACTGGGATACATTCGATTCCGCCCTTGCATTCTTCAACTGCTGAGAGGCGCGTTGTAGTAGTGGATTCCGACCATGAGATGGCGCTGCTCTACCACAGTTTGTAATCAGATAGATAGACAGTGTTGGGCAAGTTACTCTGAAAATGTAATCAAATTACTGATTACTCATTTCAAAAGTAATCACGTTACTGTTAGATGAATAACAATTTATTTGTTTTAGATATTTTATGTTTTGATATTTCTATTTTGCGGGAGTCCCGTGAATCATTGTATTCTCCGCATCCCGCACACACACGAATGTCTAGCCGCTAGGGATGGGCGTATCGATCCAAAGTATCGATATATCGATACTGACGCGAGTATCGCCCTACTAGCCGCCCGCACCAGCACTCGCCCATCTTCCCCCGCATCGCACTCTGTTGCGTCGGGTCTCGCGGGAGCAGGTCTCTAATCCACTGGCACTTGACTCGACTGTGCGTGTGCTACATCCTTTTTACAATCTAGATTATAAAACACTGCATTCTGTCAGCAATGTAACGCGGCAGTCCTTACAGTGGTACTCAATACTGACTACTGTCAGACTTTCAAAATCCTTCATCACTTGAATTAAGATGATAATAATTAAATTTTAAAGCACAGCCACCACAAAATCAGACCTTAGCACCACTTTTTACTTTGAGATCGTTCTGAGGTTAAATACAGATTTTAAATCGGGAAAGAAATCAATAAAATCTGAATGTGGGTGTGTGTGAAAATATTCAGATGAACCACTTTTGTAATCTTTAACATTTTCATAAGTAACTGTAATTTAATTACACATTTTTTCTTAG